CTGGGAGAGATTTGACCACACACTCATCATGTCTTTAGGTTATCTTTGCCATTAAAATATTATTTTCCAAATGAACATTTCAGTTTATCCCATGACAACAAATTAATACTATCTTGCATAGTGTTAAAGGCTTAGCTTCCTGGCACGTGGCCCAGCTACTAACTGCACTACTGAATTCTATCTAAATGTGAAAATTAGTTTCACTGCCCTGGAATTGTTTCAATAGAGTTAGGATCTCTTTGCTTCCTTATAGTAAAACAAAACAAAACACCCCCCCACCAATTCTCACTCCTTATGTATAACATGTTTCTTTAACTCAGTGTTGCAGATATATTAATGGACAAATTTGGGAAGAAACAGAATGACTGCTCTTAAGCCATGGGAAAGTGGCAACCAACCTTATACTTCTGGAGCCCAGCTGTTGAAAATGGTGATATTGCTTACAGAAATGCAGTTTCTGTAAAAGCAGAGGTAAGACTATAAACTAACTCATAAAACAGTTCAGTCTGGCTTTGACCAAGCTGGTTTAACTATTTATAAATAAGGTAATAACATTTTGAAAAGTTCTCTGTGCTGGAAAACTTGAAACCCAACCAAAATTAAACACTTTAAAATACTGTTGATTTTAATAGGACAAGGGCATGCATGTTGACCATTCCCACTGAAAACAAAGGCACTTAATTTTGCTTCATTTTGCTTGGATTCTGCCTTAAGTTTGTTATAATTGAGCATTATATTTTTAGACACACAGCTGGATTGCTCTGAACCTCCTAAACATGGGAGAACAAGCTTTCATGGAAGGTTAAGCCAAGTACCTTTTCTACTCTTAACATTACATGAAAGTCTTTCCTTCCATTGTCCATTTATATATCTTACCAGTGATTTAATTTTGCATCTTCCAAAATCCATTAATGTTTAGGCATAAATCAGAGCACAGAAATGCAGGTTCCGATGTCCCTTCCTAATTAACTGTAGAAGTGGAATAGTCCAGATGGTCTTAGGAACATTAAATGAATAGTATCTTACCTTCCTGGCAGAGGCTGAGGTTGACCTGTGCTCTAGGAAAATCTTCCCTGTTCAGAGTAATAATGAAGAAGAATACAATGCAAAGTAAAATAGAAGCTACCAAGTCTTAAGTAATTTGTTGATAATTTGGGATGGGGAAAGATGACTTTGAGTGCTATTCATAGCACATGAAATCCTATGTGGGTTCATGAACCATTTGGATTCATTATAATCTCTATTTAGTAAATCCTCTTTGCCCTAACATTTATATGCATAGAAAAAGATGTGCACTGAAAAATGTAAACTATTTTCTGTAACCTGTAAATTGGGTTAGACCCAGTGGAAATTTTTGTTGACAGAATGGGAGAAATTCCCACCCCCTATGGCAGACCTCTGATGCGCCTTTATTTTATTTTATTTATTTATTTGTATTTTATTGCATTTTTATCCCCCCCCCTCCAAATGGGGCTTGGGGCAGCTAACAACATAGCAATATGATAATAATAAAAGCACAATTTCAATAAAATCCAATTAAAATTTTTGGCATAAAAAGTTAGCACTGTTGATAGTAGATTAGTGGAATGCCTGGTAGAATAACTCTGTTTTACGTGCCCTGTGGAATACAGACAAGTCCTGCAAGGCATGAGTTTCCTCAAATAAAGCACTCAGAGCCATAATGGAAAAAGCCCTTCATGCTTTTCCTGGGAGTCCACTGTCCTCCAGGAGCTACTGCTCAGGGGGAATTTTGGGATGCAGTGGGGCAGGGAGGGGGGAGGCAAAGTCTTGGTCTACTGAGGAGAATCCTTTCTGTCAGCAGAGATTTTGTATGGGATCCAACCCTATCCACACATATCACTACTTGAGAGGCTCTGTAGCTAACTGGAAATAATTCAAAAATCAACTGGTAAAAGTGTTCAATTAAGCAGATTACATGAATTCATAGGACAGGGAGGGGGGAGGCAAAGTCTTGGTCTACTGAGGAGAATCCTTTCTGTCAGCAGAGATTTTGTATGGGATCCAACCCTATCCACACATATCACCACTTGGACCTAGAGGCTCTGTAGCTAACTGGAAATTTTTCAAAAATCAACTGGTAAAAGTGTTCAATTAAGCAGATTACATGAATTCATAGATTACTGGGTCATAGATTGGGTTGTAGATTATTTCAAGGGTACATAGATGTGACCAAAAACCATTGGCAGTAAGAGAATTCTAGTAGTGAACAATATTGGTGTTGGTTATATAAGCAGTATGTTCTGCTTTAATGAGTGAAAACAGCTATTCTGAAATCAGTTTCACTAATGGGTAAAACACAAGAATAGTAGCATAAACTGTTATTTGCAGTGTTATTCTCTTATTGCCTATGGCATACAGTTGACATTAAACACATAAAACCTTTTAAATCTCAATGCTGTTGCTATGCTTAGGAAAAAGTGCTGTGGTACATTGTCTTGTAAACTATTCTACATTAGTAACTGTAGAGGTGTTAATACTAATGGTGCTCTAATTCCTGTGAAAAATATGATTAAAAACTATTTGGCTTTAATGTTGCCTAAAACATCTCACTCTTTACTTTATAATTCCTTTTCTCTCCCCTTTACTCACACAAGCTGTCACACAATCACTCTTCAGTCACACAGGGGATAATATACACACAGAGAAAATGAATTTTTTAAACTTCAGTAAACAAAACATTGCTTTCAAGGATAAGACAGAAAAACTATTGGAAAGAAGACAAACCGCATACTTTTGTCATATTTTTGTGCTTCTTTTTCAGCCAGAGGGGGGGAAGAGTGAGAAGGCAGTGCATGAACATTGGCAGTGGAAGTGACTGAAAGGTATATCTGCACCAGTTCTTTTTCAGATAGGGAACTGGTACAGTCTGCACCCCATCCTGTTTCTTGTCCCACACCAGGCCCCCTCTTCCTGTTGTTTTTTGCCACATGAAAGTTAGTACCAAATTAAAGAGGTACTCACATTTCCTCCCAAAAAGTTGGACAAAAGTGTTGTGACATCTGTCCTCTCAGTTTTTCCATGCATTCCTCTTACTTGACCTCATCATATTTTTCACTTTTAAATGTTTTAATGTTAATTTTGTGCATTTGCTATGAACAACTTGCTACTTTCTTCACCTAATTTTTTTTTCTCCATTTGTCTATAAGCAGAGAGGGGATATGTGCTTGTTGTTTATCTTTGATCATTCTAGCCCCCTCACAATCCCATAGAGAATACATCCATAGACCTTTATCTCCACCCTCACTTCCAAAATTTACCATAAATTATTGTCAGGGAAAAAAACACTCCAGGTCCGAAAGATAAGGCTGTATGAAAAATATGCAAAGACAGTACATGGGACAATGCAGGACAAACTGAAATGGAACATATATGCAATAAGGGACCCAGTGCAGATATACCTGAAGAGAAATTGCTTTAACAATATGCTACATTACCACTGAAAACATACTGATTAAAATTATTTATACAGATGAAAAGCTATCATCTAGCAGCAACGGTTCCAGAGATACCTTAGCACCATGACCAATAGAGAAGGAGTGGGATAAAACTGGGAGAAAGGGATGAGGAAAGGTTCAGTGTAACTGACATAACTGTATTTCCAAAATGATGAAGACTGGCATGAGATCTGTCCCTCTGGGAAATATGCCACCCTAGGAGGTTTTTGCTTGAGGATGGGGGACAGGGTTTCCTTTTATTCCTGTGATCTTCCAGTATTATCACAGTGCTGTCTTAAGCCACCTCAGAAAAACATGGCACACACATGAATGAAGATTCTGGGCTTGTTTTGGCTTATTTATTTAACCTGAACCACAGGGGTTAAAAAAAAAATCCCCTCAGATCTTACTGTTTCAGTTGCAAGTGCCATTTCCAAACTTCTACCAGACCGCACACTCTTCAAAATACACAGTTCACAGGAATCCGTACAATGTTCCATTTTTCTTTTGTCCCATGATAGAATGCTGAACTTGAGGAGGATATGTGAGCCTCTAAAGGACAACAACCCCATGATAACAACTAAAGATGGATCTTGCATTGATATTTCCTGCCATAGAATTATAGCAGATATTTCTTACACTTATTAAAAACCCATAGAAACAGATGACAAAACCATTTGATTATAAAGACTTAGTATAAATAACACAAAATTAGCATACATATATTTTAAGCCCTGGAGTCTCCACCCTACCATGGGACTTGACTCATTGGCCATCTAGCTTCCGCAGCAGCCTGGGTTTTCAGTCAAGAGTTGTATTTTTTTTCTTTTTGCTTATTCCCTACAGATATATAAAAAATATAAATGCAAAAACAACCACAAAAAGCCCACTTTCTGCTATTTTTGTTTGCACATGCTATACCATATAGTAAGATATATGAATTGTTAGTAGAATTTTCACAGGAGTGGCAGAATGATTTTCTTTGCACTCAAAATGCCCATGGGTGTACAGGACCAAGAAAGGGTCAAAAGCAAACAGTTAACTGGATTCTTAAAAGAGACATAGGAATCTACTCTAACCTAGATGAAATTAGGCAAGAACTCCCCAGATATACCCAAAGGGCCCGGACGATCATTAGTAAAGGGCTGAATGGCTCATTGGCGTACTAACAAAGGGAAAATGGCTGAAATAAAACACTCTCTCACACACACACACACACAAAAGTATAGTGAGAAGTACGATGACATCGGCCCGCCACGTCTAGCTTATTACTTGATTTTAATTGAAAAAATGTAGACTATGGCCCCAGCACATGTTTCTAAAGAATGAAATGTTGCCACCTGTACTGCAGCTGCCACAGTTGAAGATGTCAGTAAATGTTAAGTGTTTGTCTCATTCTTAAAAATTCCTTGTAGCTTCCATCAGATAAGTTTAAAATTTCAGTGTGGGGTTTACATACATACATATATTTATATATAATATATATTTTTCATATAATATATCAAAGCTTAGAGTATCGATTAAAAAAAAGATTCAACAGCTTTCTAAACAAGAGGCATTCCTTGCTAAATATCAGGGTAAAATTCCGATCCGTGGTCCATGCTCTGCAGCACTGGTTTCTGATCCAGGGAGGACATCCTGCTCAACATTTCTGCAGACAGTGCATAACTATTGCTAGATTTCTCCTCAAACCAACTATCTAGTGCCCTCTTGGCCTCGAAGTTGGCAATGGGTGGTCCATTAACAGCAATTGTCAGAAGATCACTGAGTTGCTCCAGAGTGAGTCGAGAACGATTATTTTTGCGTACTCTCTGAAGGGCACTGCGGCCCTTTTCACAACAGGCTGTAGAGGTGGGAAGGACTTTGAGGATCTGGATTATTTTATTTAAAAGTGGAAATCTCTGCCTATATTTACAAATATGACTGATTAAATCTTTAAAACCATTTTTGGTATAATAATCCACCTTGAGTTCTCTCCATTCCATGAGCAAACTCCCTCTGGTGTCCATACCTTCTCTGCTGACTTCTGTGGAAAAGGTCGGCACTGATTCCAGATGTTCAAATATTTGCACCATATCCTCCCTGCCATAGCTCATGAGTTCCTCTGCACTCCTTGGCCAAGCTGCAAGGTCAAATACCTGGCATGCTTTCACAAACGCCCGGCTGCGGGGCTCGAACCTTTGCGCTAGAATCACCTGGGTCTTCTGGCATATTTTTTCTCGAATTGACTGGAACTTGGCTTCAGCCACTCGTAGGTTTTTCACAGCAACCCCATTAAAGCTTTCACGGAAGTTTTCCTCGAATTCCTGTAGATATTCACCCGGAGAATCTGCCAGCCTGCTGACCTCTTGGATGGCCTCCTCTATTTTGTCGTCCACTTGAGAGACAAGGAGGTATTCACCTTGGAAGACAAAGGCAAGGCGTGAAAGCACAGCAATTACATCCAGCAAAAAATATATCAGCTTAATTGATTGGTAGTCCATAAGAAACTGCAGGAGAGCCAAGGCAATGGCAGATGCATCTGCCCTTTGCGTCTGACCACTGACATCTTTGAGATGGGCCACCACTTCCAGGTAATCCTTTATCAGAGCATTGAGGACATTTTGCTCCCCAATGATCCACTTGACTGCTCTAATGTCTCCCAGGAACTCAGTCTCTTCACAGAGGGTAGCAGCAGTGACCCTCAGCTCACACATCAGCCTGGGGGAATAGCGATAGAAGCTGAGTAACTGTTTCAAGTTGTTCTCTAGTTCCTCTAGGCAAGGAAGCTCTTTCCCACTGATTGCATCCAAGATTTCCAAGTGTGGCTTGTGTACCATAAGGGGTAGGCAGAGCAACCAAGGCAGAGTCTTTCTGATTGTCATGTACATGTTGGCTCTAAGGCTGGCAGTAATATTAGCACCATCCACCCCCAGACCCACAGACGGCTTTTCATCCTGCAGCCTTATTCCCAGGGAGGAAAAAGCCCTGTCTAATGCCTGGATGTAACTATCTGCTGTAGAAAAGCCTAGCTCTTGGAGAGAGAGAAATTCAGTGGCTGGAGGCCCATCACTGCTGATATACTGTACATAAACTGCAACTGTGTCAGCCAGCAAGTCGTCACTCTGCCCATCTAAAATGATACTGAGAAAGGGAGACTGCCTGATCCGCTCAACTAGATCTTCTCTAAGAGCTCGAGCAATATGGTGAATTAAGATTTGACAGTCTCCCTCATTCATGTACTGATCCACCACTTTGAGTTCACATTTCCTCAGTAGTTCTGCAAGAGGCCTAAAATCACAATAGGGCCGGCCTTCCATAGCTAAATGGTAGGCTGTGTTGAAGAGTAATGTCATATTTCGGCACATCTCTTCTGTCTTCTCTGGGTGCATCCTGAGCCTGTAGAGCTGCAGGCACTTTTTGTGGAGGTTGCTCTGGCTGTGAAGTTTTATAGTGTGTATCTTAAATTGCTTAGAGCCAATGATGAAGGCTGAAGTCCGAGAAGATTGCACTGTATACTGCCGGCAGACATGGCACCACATTTCATTCAGTGTAGGGGAGTACCGCAGAAACCAAAATTTCTTTAGCCATTCTTGCTTGAAGCGGCGAATCCTCCTAGTGACAGCAGACATCTTGGAGGGTTCGTCTGTAGCTGTTATCATATCATTTGAGACTGATTCATCTGCGGAATCTACCTCCTGGTCATCATCTTCCATGATAGCGGGAATGGACATGATGCTTTCTGAAGCTGCAAAAATAGTGGGGAAATGTTAAGAAACAGGTATATAAAATGACATAAAAACATGAACAGTAGTACCACCTCACATTCCATCTTTGGCTATACATTTTTTTAACCACAGCTGATCAAACATTACTACAGTGAAACTGGTATATAAATATTTTTGAATTCTTAGTTTTTAAATTACGGTGTCTAATACATGATTTGACATTCTGCCTGCTTTTGACCTTAAAGAAAATTAAAGAACTCTTAAGAAAGAAACCCACAACAGAGTAAACAATGTTCCTTTGGAGTTGAGGGAGAAGGAAAGGATTAATTTCATACTTCACACAGCTGCCCAAAGTCAGTACGTTTCACTCTCAGCACTGAAAACCAGTTGCACTCTCTAGGTAAAACTCATCACAACAATGTGCTACTTTTTCTTGCAAGGGAAAGTATCAAGAATACAGCAAACAGATTCCCTGTAGTGGATTTTTTTATTGATAGTGAACAGATTACAAGAAAAAGAAGATATTCTATCATTACAGACACAATCCCAAAGCTTTTTTCACATAGGACTAGGTAGCCACTTGACAAACCCCACACATCAAGAATACTCAAGGCTGGATATGAATGGCAAAAAGAATTCTTCTTACACAGTGTCTGAGGAACATTTTTATGGTGTGTGACTTACCTGAGGGGTATGAAAATGCTTGGTACTCAGGTACCTGAGGAGGTAGTAGAGATGGCTCAGCTAACTTGCCAGATCTTAGCATATTTAGTTCAGCCTGCAACTCACGAATTTTCTTCTTAAGTCGTATGCAATTGGGACACAATGAAGTTGTTGGGATATCAAGGGTATCTTCTTGAGCTGGTGTCAGAGACAGATCAGTAGGGCTGTTCACTTTAAATGACAAGGGTTCTTCACCTTCATCTTCCAGCAGTCCAATTTCTTTGGACATGGTGAAAGAGGAGCCCTGGGGAACCTTCCACTCACCCTCATTTTTGCTTCTGAGATGTGGAGAGCTATGCTGGATACCAGGTCCACTACTTTCTGAGACATCTTGAGTTTGGAGTCTAGAGGACTTCCTTGTGGAAGGAGTGGAATTTTTTGTAAACTTGTGCTCTTCCGGCTTTGTTGATTCCAGAGAAGCCTCTAGGACATCTTTGAAAATGAGGTCTATTTTCTTTTTCTTCGTTTGGGGAGGAGGTGCTCCTTCTTCAAAGCTGCGTTTGTAAGAGCTCTTCCCTTGCTTTGCCATGGTGAGTTCAAGGGGATAGCTCACATCCTCTTGATTTTCAATATTCCTGTCTGATCTTTCCCTTAGTAATTTTTTATCTCCTAAAAAGAAAAAAAGTCAGGAGTTGGAACTATCAGTGGGAACTCTGCAACATTCCTCAACCAAAAGCTAAAGCAAAAAAGGAAAAACTCCTGCATTTTAAATGTTGCAATACCCAATATTGAAAATTATTGGAGCAAAGGTTCAGGAGAATTATTTTTTCTTTTTAAAGCAAAGCAATATCCAGATTGTCATACAGAAGTAGGCCTCAGACACTTCTAAGGGAAGACAAATAAAAAAATAGCTGGCTTAGCAAAACAGATAGCCAGACTATATTAAAATGAGACTAAAACACTGACTTCTTGAAAATGTATTGATAGCTTTGACTTGGTAAAAGGTATTCAGTAAATCAAGAAGATTGAAATCCACAGATTTCCATATGAACCAGAAAAATTTATGGACCTTTTCTATTTTATTCAAGTGTTACATGAAACATGAGAGCACAAGGAAATTACAATCTCTGTTTCCATTTTGCTTAGTACCAAACTGAGTTAGGATCTAGCAAATTACATCCAAGACTGGAGCATGTGCTAGTCTTAAAAGGTTGCTAAGTGTATGGCCACTGTTTAAAGTTTATCAACATAGTCGAGACATTATGCATATTAGCAGTTAGAACAGAGGGAATAGCCAGATATCCTTACCTTGAAATTCAAAAGATGTTGAGTTTGGTTCAATTTCCATCTTTCTTCTATCTTGTAAATAACTCCAAGCATCAAAACACATGGTTGCTTCCCAAACAAGATGCTGCTTTATGCTGATCTTTTTTTTTCCATTTTGAAAGCATAATTATGTTCTTGTAACAACTATAGGTTAAGTTTGGAATCTCAAAGGCTGATAGTCCAGGCCTAAAGATTCTGTGCTGATGCTCTCTGAAATGCTAGTGTAAAATTGCTAAAGGGTTTTGTAACAGTGCAATCGGTGCAGCTACGCAACTGCCATATTATACAGAAATGCAATCTTTTAGCAGTGCAAGTCTTGGGATGAGATGGCACAAATGTAGAATGTACACAGGACCAGGGGTCATTTCCTGCGGGAGCGCACAGGAACAGAGCTCCGGCAGTAAGGAGCCCAGGGGGTGGGCACATGCAACAAGCCCCGCCCCCTGCGCCCAGCAGCCCTCAGTCGGGCCACGAGGAGCAAGAAGCAGCCAGGTTAGTTGCAGAGCACACCCCCCCCACCTTCAGGTATAAGCTCTCCCTCCTCTGTGAGGGCAGATCTGCATGCCCCCCCCAATAGCTAGCAATCCAAAACAGTCCAGTGGAGCCTGAACGGTGGGTGTTGCCTTCTGACACACTTCCGGTGATGTCATGGGGTGTGGCATATGCAAATAAGTTATGCTAATGAGTTCCTGCACCTCTTTTTCTACAAAATGACCCCTGCACAGGACTCAACCTCACTGGGGTATTAGGCTGAATGGGAGGTGGGCAGACTGGATATGGAAGACTCTTTAAGCTACACAGCTACAGTTTAATATTCATATAGGACGTTAGTTTGCAAAGGGGGTTGTGAATTGTTTCTAAAAATGGATATTGCTGTGTTTGTTTTGTGATTCCATGTCAGCATGTTATTAGGTATTAGGTGCAGAATTAACCCTACCAAGGATATTTACTTTCCCTTAAACAAACGAATTTCTAGCCCTCACACATATGAAAGCTGAAAGTATACGGTGGGCACTCCTTAATTATTTCTCAGAAACATGAGACAGTCAGATTGCTAACATGACAGAGCTTCAGGGCCTGACAGCGTTCCGTAACCCTCTGTAGAGAAATGCAGTTTTTCTTTGGACTGAGCAAAAGCTTCACCTTTAATTTTAAAAGTGTTTCTCTTTCTTGGCAGAGAAGAGGTGGTGGTGGGGAGTAAAATCCAATTGTTTTCCAGCTTCACCAAATGAGGCTTTAGACATGCTAATGGCAGGCCTGGCTGGATACAATGAGATGGTCAAGTTTACACTTTCCTTTTGGATCTCTTGCTCAATCTGTTGCTGTACTAAGAGTATGTGTGTCTGTGTGGGCATTTTCTTTTTAATACATCTTTTGTAACTCTTAATATTTGTAGCTGTTTTCTGTTACACACAGACCTTCACTGTTTCGAACATGCTATTTTAAAATAAGCACGAGGAGAAGTGGAGGGGGCAGTCAGCTGGCAAGTTGCTGCTCCCCCACCGCTGTGCAAATGTAGTACTCCTCAGGGTAAACAGAAACTGGAAATTCATAGACACCAGCATGAGGTGAGGCCTAAGAATGGCAAAGTAGGAAAGTGAAGTTGGAAGCCCTGGTCGTCTCAGCAGGTGGTTCCTACAAAGGCCAGATGGTGGCAATGGTTGAACTGAAAGAGGGAGAAGAAAGCTCTTTCAAGGGTTGGAAAAGCCAAGTAGAGACCTTGGATGGCTGCTGGTGTCCAGACGCCTCAGAAGGGCAAAATGAAACTATAGGTCAGTGGGGCTGTTCCACCACACCCTCCTATGATTATCAGATGCTAAATAAACTAAGCAAATGATTACAAACATGGATAACTTGTGTGATATCTACAAATTCAGGATTTTTTTACTTTTTTTAAAAATAATGCTATGTATACACATCTCTTGAGCATGAATAGATATTTATTTTTTCTTTAACAGAAGACTGGCCAGAAACAAAGTGGGTTACTTAAAAGAGTTCCCTTTTGAAACAGTGACATTTTAGAGGCAAATGAACAAGAAAAACAATTTATGAAATCCTTTAAAAAGGGAGATATTAAGTTTTAAAATCAGGGGAAATCTAAGTGTTAGGGCAAAAACACTGGTATGAAAAATATGGACTGGGATTTTATCTGAACTTGTTTTAGTTTCATTGACTATGGTGCTTGGTACCTTGCACCCCAGTAATGCTTTTCTCCAATGCAATTAGCTGTGCATGGGCATGTCTCAATGACTTCATCAAGTATTTTCATTTTATAATGAGAGAGACTTATCTCAAAGAATGGGCAGCTCTTACGTAAACAGAAAGAATGTAAGGATCTTAGGTATTTTGTGACAGCTGGCAATACCCAGACCATGTAAGTGTACTAAGATGAACATCTCCCTCTCCTGCGGTAACTATATCAAGGAGAAAACTACAGAGCACTACAATTTAAATCTGTATTTGTATAAACAATTGCAGTAAGGAGTATGTATAAGAAACTTAAACAGAGACAAATCTTAAGTACAGGCTGAGATATGATGGAATCTTCTGGAGATGAGAGGAAAGGGAATTGGGTTTCTGAGCTCCACTATATCAGAGTCTCATAGAGACCAATCACAGGCCTCTCCAAAATAAAGCACATGGGTCCCAGTTTCACGCCCAAGATGAAAGACCAGGAAAGGAATACAAGCCACACCCTCTGTTTTGGAATTAACAACACAAGCCCTTCAACCTCTAATAAGCACTCAGGGAAATCCATGACTGACGTAAGCTTTGGCCCTCTCTCCAGATAGCTGCTAGGAAAGGGTATAATACCCAGGGGTTCATCTTGTGAACTGAACTGCCTGATTGCTGGAGGCCCTGGTCTATATATACAGAATCTGGTTGCAGAAATCTGAGGCGGTAAAATGACAGACTGTTGGGGAGGCGATTGTTGCATGTTCTTAATGATCCCTCATGTAAAAACTCTCTCTAATTTTTTTTTAAAAAACCACTTTGGAGGGAAAGACTCTGACCTCCCTCCCCACCTGCCACACACACATTGCTCTTTTGCTCAATTAGTTGGTTGGTTTTAATTTGCAGGAAATTAAGGTAGGGAACTTTGAAAAATATAATCCCTTATCCGCAGTCTTAAGTCATCTGACTGATTTAGGGTTGCCAAGTTGATCTTCGCCGGGAGCGGGGGGCTCCCAGCCGGTGTCCAGTGCGAGCACGTGCACCACATGCACGTCACCCGGAAGTGACGGGAGGACGCCGGGCACGCTGGGGGTGGAGCCACAGCCATACAAGGGAAAACTCTACGGTTTTCCCTTGTATGGCCGTGGCCTTGTCCCCAGCGTGCCCGGCGCCCTCCCATCGCTTCCGGGTGATGCGCACGTCAGGGAGGAGTTCCCCCCGGGGCCCGATCCGGTGACGCCGGGGAACGGGCCTCTGGGACGGGGGTTTCCCCGCCCCCCGGGGGGACTTGGGATCCCTAGATTGATTCTACCTCCTCAGCATTTTGCCTCTGCTTTCTGCTATGTGTGTAGACCAAGCTCTAGGCCAGGGGTGTCAAACATATGGCCTCCGGGCCAGAGCTGGCCTGCCCAGGTCTTTAATTCAGCCTGTGGGTAGAGTGCCCCCCTGCAATCCCCCCATTAGAGACTTACTGCTTATTAAATCACACCAGCCGTTGGGGTCGGCGGTGCAATTGGCAGCTCCATGTGACTGGCTTTTTCCGGTGGCTGTGATCAGCTGCTTCCACTCCCCTCTGTTCTTCCCAGCTGCAAACTACCTTGTGTGCTTTGTTTACAAAGGCTACAAGAGCCTCATTGTGATCAGGATCTCCCTATGACCCTTGCCAGTGACTCTGCTTCATTTCTGGGCTATCCTCTGCAACTGGAAGTTACCTTCTGTGCTTTGTTTACAAAAGCTGGAAGAGGTACAATTTGCTGCTGCAGCCTCACAGGTTGGGGCGAGTAGGGTTTTTTTGCCATTATATTGTAGTAAAGCTGCATTATATGTTGGCTGGAGTGTTATAGGTGCTTTGGCTGGTAGCAGTATGGAAAGTTAGAGATCAGTATGAGCTGCTAGCAACCCCCCGCCCTTTGAATACAGTAATGCTGTTGTTGTTATATTGTAGTAAAGCTGCATTATATGTTGGCTGGAGTGTTATGGATGCTTTGCCTGGTAGCAGCTTGGGAAGTTAGAGTCAGTATGAGTTGCTAGCAAAACAAACAAACCTCTTTGAATTGAATTGTTAATGTTTTAAGCAAAACATAAAACTTATGTCTTAAGTAAAAAATAATGTCTTTGTCTTTGTGTCCTTTATAAAGTGTCTATCTCTGGTACCTGGCATTACATTTATAACACACATGACCTGGCCCCACAAAGTCCCATTTATGTCATATCCAGTCCTCATAACAATTGAGTTCAACACCCCTGCTCTAGGCCCTTCAGTTCTGCTTCTGGCTGAATATACCCCAACTCCTGCCTCGTGACAAATGCCTTCATGCACAGTTAGGTATCTCCACAGGCCGATAGCTCCCAACCCTGAAGTCTGTGGAGAAAAGACGGCTTCATTGCCTTATAGAGGTGGTTCATTATGTAGCATTTCCTTAATTAGCAGCTGATACATTTTAACCCTCAGGACACTATTCCCCCCAAAATTTTAAAAATAGGCTTTTGAAATTCAAAGTGTTTCAGGTTTGGTATCTTTGTGTGTGTATGAGGGGAATTAAATCTTATTTAGAGAACTAACATAGCACCTTGGTAATGTTCCATGAACTCACATACAACGGTGGGCCCAAGAACAACTCTTCAACTTCCCAGGGGACCACATTTTACAAAGGAATGTCTTTTACCAAGTCAAAACATCAAAGCAGCAGCTGAAAACAATGATGCTAGTATGAATTCCAGAGACAAAGTTAGGTAATCTTCCTTTTGTAGGTCATATTTGCTTGTTTAGGTTACAGTACAACAGCCCTTCACATAGCCTTGGTCACAGCATTACATGACTGATCAGAGCCAATTTAGAACTACCCAAAATTGTTTTTCAACTGAGTATATAGCCAATACTGGGCACTGGATCTGGCTCATTGTATTTATTTCTCAGCTCACAACAGAACAGCAATTTTAATTCACTGTATATTAAATAAGAGATCTCATAAATTGTGTGTATCTGAAGCCCAGTTACCAGTTTTATGTAATTCAGGTATTAAATAAGAGATCTCATGAATTGTGTGTATCTGAATTTAAGCCCAGTTACCAGTTTTATGTAATTCAGGTGAAATTTCTCTTCTACACCCACAGATTGAAAACATCCAAAGGACACATTCACAGACAGTATAGTAAGAACATATTTGAAATGTCTGATGTAGTTCAGTGAAAGTGCCATTTCAAAAATACAGAGAAAAAAAGAAGCATATGACCTTAAATTTAGTGTGACCACAATGCACAAACACAACAGAAACCTAAATTAATCTGGTCTAGAACACTGCATTATGATGGAAACCAGGAACACAGTTCTAACAAAACCACTGGCATTTATAGTAATAATATGGCATTTCTATATATGTCTGCTGAATTACATCTGGAGAATGGCACTAGTTGGGATCCTATGAATGAAGTATGAGAACATAAGAAGATAACTTCCAAACATAAGATTAAGCCTCCATCTAGTCCAGCATCTTGTTTCCAATAGTGGGTAGCCAGATTCTTTTGAAAACTCACCAAGCAAGTCCTCCTCCATTGTTATCCCCAGTGTTCAATATGTGTAGGTATACTGCCTCTAAACAGTGAGGTTCTATTTAGATGTCATAACAAGAAGCCATAGGTAGCCCTATTCTCTGGGTTTGTCTAATACCACTTTTTCACCCTCACCATACCTTGCAGATGATCCTGAAAACCGCACTGCAGTAAGGGAACCAAGGCAGAACAAAACATCTGTGTAGAAACAGCCTATCTTATCCTTCAACAATCCTTTGCTGAACTTAAAAAAGGAGGGCTGGGAACAGGACTTGAGGTACACAAACCCAGGGCAAAAACAAGCAGGCACTGCTGTTAAGAAGAAGGGTGCAACAGAAGCATAGCATAAGTCCCCAGTGTACTTTTAAGAACATGGGAGGATAATGAAATCCTATTACTGTGGGTTTTGCAATAGAATGATGATGTCCCTCCTCCCCTTAGGCTATTCTTTGGCTCAAAAACCAATTTATGGTATTACTGGGGGGGAAATTCCCTGGTGTCTGCAGTCACCAAGGATACCACAGAACCAGGGGACGAAGTTTTCCATTTAGTCTTTTGGTACTGTTCTTCAAAGTTCCATGGGATTCAGTAGATCAGAACAGAACGTCAGGAGTAGACAGAGAACAAATCTCAGTCACGACACAGCAGTGCACTGAGAATCAAGCACAGGATCCCACTGTTGACTTGATAATATATGCCTAAAAATCAGAATTAATTAAAAAGAAAGTCTCCACACACTTAGAATGCCCAACCAGGGATAGTTTATTTCAACTGGGTTTTCTGTTCATTTCAGTCTCAGGAACTGCAATTTTTTGTCAGCTTTATTGTGTACTGAGAAATGTTACTAGGTTTGTTCCTGCTTTGAGAGCTTTCATTGGCTGAAATGTGCTAAACATTCAGAAAGAAATAGTGAAGAAATGCCTCAGAGCATGAAGAAATCACCCACCTCTTGTGAGGTTTCTGTTGATGGTCTCCTGAGACATGCTGTGCAATCTCTTCATGTAATCCTCGCTGTACCAGACTCTCAGCCTCTCTCCTGGCCGGATGTCCCGGCAAGTTCGGAAGTAAATCCTCTCACTGTGCTGGAATGCCATCAGGTTCTGTTCTCTCTCCTCTCGAGATATGGCCACATACCTGAGGATAACAAGACAGATTTTGACTCACAAATAGGCTTCGTGGAAATTAAAACAAACCTTTGCCACAACCATGTCAGAGTGTGACCTTGAAAATGCCACAGAAACAGGAGTAGGGTGGCATGAATAACAATATGCGAACTGACAGAGCAGTAATAAAATAATATGCACGCCAATGGAATGTTTAAGGACTTCTTGAGACTGGTATGCCATTTCTGCCTGGAAAGAGATCAAATTGTTCTCAAGAGTGCTTCTTCCCCACCCAAGAGCTTGAGCATGTTTGGTAAGTACTTATTTCACTTAAATACAATTCATGGCCCTTGGACTACACTGTTTCTTTTTACAATCCTAGAGTCAAAATAGGGGTGTGCACGTGGTAGAAAACTAGCTGAAAAAAATACCCCCAAAATACATTATTAGTATTTTTGGGATATTTTCTCAGCCACTTACTGAGCAGACTACTGATTCAGCTATCTGAAAATGGCCACCACAAAAAAAAAAAAATCCCAAAAATTATTCAGGAATTTTTGGGACTGCCAGATAGCCACAGTTAAAGGGCTCTCCAGACATTTAAATCCCTTGGGAGTGAACTCTCAGCTTGGAGAAGGCATTTAAAAAGACTGCAAGTACTTTAAATGCCTTCAGAGTTCACTCACAGTGGAGTCGCATGGCTTGGAGAAGGCATTTAAAGGGTCCACAATCCCTTTAAATACTTTTTCTGGAGCCCATAGAATTGGACCCCTGGCAATGTTTTTGAAACTTGGGGGGTGGTTTATTTATTTATTTTATGGTATTTATCCCCTGCCCTCCCCGCAAACGGGCTCAGGGTGGCTGAGGCACCAGCATCTACTTCAAAAAACAGCCCCCTCAAGCCCCAGATACCCCCAGATCCATTCTCCATTATAGCCTATGGGGGCCATTGGCTATGATGGTCCCTGTAGGGTACAATGGAGCCAAAAAATTGGCAATCCCAAATATTTATCAAATCCAAATACCATACCGATATTGGAATTTGGGAATATTGGGAAATGTAATGTTAAAAAAAATGTAAAAAATGTTTCATGTTCAATGTAACTGAACCCAAAAATACCAATATATATATATATATTTGCATACCCCTAAATCAAGAGCTACAGATTCTCACTACTGGCCACTACATGGAACACCTGCCACAAGAAAGTGCTTCAGAGTGGCCTCCACTTGGCAACTGTAGGTTTCATAGTATCTTTCCATTCCACCTGAAAACTTTGAAAGCACCACTACATTCTTTTTCTTTGGATGTTTCAGTTCAGTGAGACAAAAGGGAAGGGATAGCTGTGGTAAGCAATGATCAGATTTTTGTATCATTATTCTTGAGGCGTAAGACCTTGCTGTACAAGGAGTAATGTTCTTGTCAAGCAGCCATGCTACTGTCCCTGCATCAGTGTAAAACAACCCTCTCCCCCAGTGAAAAGCAAGTTCTCAGAAATACAGTGAACAAACAAACAGGTTGCTTACTTGTAACTGATGATCTTCAAGTGGTCATCTGTGCATTCAACCTCTGGGATATAGTGCGCCTGCGCCAACCCCAATCGGTAAAATAGAAAGCAAAAGGGATTTTCGTGCCCTTTCCCCAGTCACGCACCGGGCTCCGGTGTGCATGACTAGGGAGGGGCACAACAATCCCACCAGTTCCTTCTGACCGCTGCCATCAGTCTCAGAGCAAAAGAAAGACAAGAGGACCGAAAGCAGAGGGGAAGGAGGGTGGGTGGTGTGAATGCACAGATGACCACTCAAAGATCATCAGTTACAGGTAAGCAACCTGTTTATCTTCTTCGTGGTCTCTGTGCATCACACCTCTGGGAGATTAACAAGCAATATACACCTACCTGGAGGAGGTAGCTGAAGGTCCTAGATATGCGCCGCCTGCAACACAGTTCGTCCCACCATAGAGCGCTGATGAAGATGCACATCCAAGGTGTAATGCTTCACAAATGTGTGAGGAGAGGCCCAGGTTGCTGCATTGCAGATATCACAGAATGACGCATCTCTCAGGAAGGCCATGGACATTGCTATGGCCTGAGTGGAGTGGGCCTGAAGCGGTCCCGGGAGCAGCTTCTTGGTCAGTAGATAGCACAATTTAATTGTCTCCACAATTCACTTGGACAGTCACTGCGATGATAATTTCTTTCCCTGTCCAGGCAGGGCATGGGAGACAAACAGGGCTGGGGATTTTCTAAAAGGCCACATCCTGTCCAGGTAAAAAAGCAAAGCCCTTTTTATGTCCAGCACGTGAAGGAGATGTTCATCATCGTTCCGTGAAGACGGGATAAACACTGGAAGAACAATGTCAGCCCGCAGGTGGAACTCCGAAACCTTGGGAAGGAAGGAGACATCTGGGGCCAAGGTAACACCATCGTGGTGAAAACTCAGGTAGGGCAGGTCACAGTGAAGCGCAGACGGCTCGCTTACTCTCCGGGCTGACGTGATGGCCACCAGGAAGGCCATCTTCCATGACAGGAGTTGCAAACTACATGTAGCCATGGGCTCGAAAGGCTTGCCCATCAGTTTAGACAGCACCAAAGGTAAGTCCCAGGCTGGTGTAGGGCCCCGAGACAGGGGGGGGAAAGCCATTCCTCAAGGCTTTCCTTAAGGAACTGTTTGGTCTGTGGGTGGGAAAAAACTGAGTTAAACGCCACCTCAGGGTGATTAGTGGAAATGGCAGCTAAATAAACGTGCAACAAGGCACAAGTAAGGCTTAAATCTAAATGGGACAACAAGAAACCAAAAATTGCAACCAGGTCCTAAGGGGGTGGAGGCAACCCCAATGAGCGAAGGTAAGCTAAAAACTTCTTCCATTTCCCATCATAGGAAATACGTGTAGAAGGCTTATGGCAGGTCAACAAGACATGGTCTATCCTGTTCTTAATCCGTTCTACAGTATCCTCCATGCTGTGAGCTTGAGATGTGACAAATCGTGATGCAGCACCTGACCCTTCTGCGCAAGGAGGAGATCTGGCGCTGCCAGAAAGTGAATGAAGGAGCCCTTGGACATGTGAAGCAGAGTGGGGAACCATTGTTGACAGGGCCACCATGGGGTCAGAAGAAGAAGAAGAAGAGGAAGAGGAGGAGGAGGAGATTGGATTTATACCCCGCCCTTCCCTTGGAGTCTCAGAGCGGCTTACAAACTCCTTTCCCTTCCCCTCCCCACAACAGACACCCTGTGAGGTGGGTGGGGCTGAGAGAACTCTGACACAAACTGCTCTTTTTCAAGGACAGCTGTGCCAGAGCTTGTGACTGACCCAAGGTCACATCAGCAGGTGCAAGTGGAGGAGTGGGGAATCAAACCCGGTTCTCCCAGATTAGAGTCCACACACTTAACCACTACACCAAACTGGCTCTCACACCAAACTGGCTGTTCCCGAAGCTGTTCCCTCATTATCTTGTTGATCACCTTGGTGGGAAGAGAAACACATGCCTGTGGGACCATTGGTAGAGAAGTCCGTCTCCCAGGGATAGAGGGTCCCTCCCTGCTCTGGAGCAGAACAGGCGACAGTTTGCATTCTGATGTGTTGCGAACGCGTCTACTTCCGGCTGGCCCCATCCGTCGAAAATCAGCTGGAGATATAGGCAATTGAGTTCCCACTCATGCAACGATGCTCCTCCTCTGCTCAGGAAGTCTGCCTGCACATTTAGGGACCCGGGCAGATGGGCTGCTATCAGGAAGACATTCATTCCAGATCTCGAGGGCCAGTTGACACAGGCCCTTCGACACCGTCCCACCTTGATGGTTGAGGTAACACAGAGCCGTGGTGTTGTCTGTTATCGTGTGATGGGCCACCAGGTGGCAAAAAGACCTGAGAGCATACTGGATGGCTAACAGTTCCAAAAAGTTGATATGTTTGTGGGCCACATGAGCCTCCTACCTGGAGCCCCCACACATCCCCTTGAGATACACTCCCCATCCTCAAAGTGACACATCGGTGGTGTCGTGGATAGGGTGTGTGGGTGAAACAGCATCCTCCAGAAGGTTGTGCGGGTTCTCCCACCAGTCCGAGTCCAACACCTGTGCGGGGGGGGGATGAATCTTTGGGACTGGGGCTGAGCTTGTGGGTGGAACCTCCTGAGGAACTACAGCTGAAGCAGCCTCATGTGAAGTTGGGCAAAAACAAGTACTGCTGTAGTGGCAGCCATCAGTCCAAGGAGGCGCTGGATTTGCCTCACAGAAGCATCCCCTTGCTGACATAAGAGGCTTATGAGAGCAGTGATGTCGTCCGCTCATTTGGGGGGAAGAAACGCCCTGCAGACCCTCGAGCCAAGGATTGCCCCAATCAACTGGACCCGCCATGAAGGGGTGAGCATAGATTTTTTGAGGTTCACTCTTAGCCCTAATGCCTCTAGGATGCCTAGAGTCAGATCTATGTGGCTTAGCAAGGTGGCTTCTGAATCTGCTACCAGCAACCAATCGCCGATGTATGGAAAAATTCGTACACCATGCAGATGAAGGTAGGCAGCGATGACTACCATCATCTTTGTGAAAACTCGGGGGGTATAGATAGCCCGAAAGGAAGGGCCTTGTATAGAAAATGTCCCTCCCCTACAGCAAAACGCAGAAACAGCCTGTGAGCCAGATGGATCGTCATGTGGAAATACACGTCTTGCAAGTCCAGAGTCACCATCCACACACCCTGTTCGAGAAATGGTTTCTGAGGTCTATAATTGGACGGAGCCCTCCAACCTTCTTGGGGACTGTAAAATAGCGGGAATAAAATCCGTGGTGATGTTGGGGTGCAGGAACCGGTTCTATAGCATCTTTTTGAAGATGGTTCTGAATTTCTTCTAGGAGTGTACTCGATGGTGGAGTGAGTACGAAGGTGGAGGTCATAGGAACTTGGATAAACTCTATAAGGTATCCCTCCTTGATGACAGAGAGAACCCACCGATCCGATGTTATCCTTTGCCAGGCAGAAAGGTAAGGAGACAGGTGGGTGGGAGGTATGGATAGACGGCTGAAGTCAAATA